TTGAAATCAGTTTGGCCGTCTTTTAAAGTCGGCCTAATCGATCATCTTTGAACAATAATGTTAGTGGCCGATTTCTACTTGTCAACGGGAGTTTGGATTGCCCCCCGAGCCCAGAAGATTTGATAGTGATCTTAAGGCTCTCCCGATTATCATTGGACTTTTCTAGCACCACCTAGCGATCTAAAACTTTCTTTCCCTTCTTAGGCTCTCTGGTCTCGCCGATCATTACATTTTTCCAATAGTGAAATGGGCTTGCTCCGGTCGTATCAAGATGGCTGGATTATTGATCTCTAGAGTTTCAGACATGGAAAATGTCATTTTGCAAGGCAAAGGATGTGCATCTCCGTCATGCATAGCTTGCATGTCCAACTTTGCCTCTTTTGCTTTCCAAAACCGATTAATAAATTTATGTGAATCGGTTTGGGAGGCATCACATGAAGCCTCAGGCATTGGAATCATGCATGATAACTTTGGAGAGTTAGACAACACCATAATATGAGGCAATGAAGCATGTGGTGCCGCTGTCCCGACATTAGTTTGAGAAGTACAAACCGAATTGGGTGTGTATGTAGCAGTAGGAAGAATAGTGCTAACCCCTCCTGAATTGGTCCTATCTATTTCAGGCACCGAAGAGACCAATTCGGGTTTCTTCCTAAAAATGAGCTTGCCATTTTGATCAATATAACAATAAGATAGCCTCTTTCCAGGAGGTATATTGGTAGCCCCTCCTGAATTGGCCCTATCGGTTTCAGGAGGCCGAAGAGGCCAATTTTGATTGACTTTTTGAAATCAACCTGTCATGCTGGTCAAAATAATAGTAAAACGGTCTCTCGTATTGAGGTTGACTAAAAGTCAGGGCCGATTCACTAGTATGTCCAACATGAGGTGAAGTAGTAAAAGGAGTACAAAAGATTCCTTCCTCTAAGTTATCAAATGTAGAATTCATCTTAACCATACTATAGAAAAAGGAGAATCTTCAATAATCCCATGTACCTTCAGCATAGGTATGGTTGTAGACCTGATGAGGATCTCCTGACCCATCGGATCGGTGAACTCATCGTTGCGACCGTTGTTCCACATCTTGAAAAGAGGAGATCAAGACTAGATGCTATCGGCCTTTTGGGCCAGATACAACGGTAATGATAACACAAGAAGGATAGATTGGAACCAACAAATTGGTTAGGTCAGAAAGATCGGCTATAGGAGATAGCCGAACCAAATCGTTCCCCAGCGGAGTCGCGCAAAACGTGTGTTGACACTTAATTAGGTCACACACTCGATAAGGAGCTAGATCGCTCGATGTAGGGCCTAGCTGATTTTGGGATGGGCCGACGCCTAGGGGATGTCCACACCTAGACCTTGTACCTCCAGCGATAAGTGCGATACGCAAGATACATCGCCAGAGGAGCCTCGCCGAGAGCGCGATACGCCAGACACGCCTGCGAGGTCTCTTGAGACCCGAAACCCCACACGCCTGGGAGGGACCCCGTCAGGGCATGCGGCGGCTATGGGCTGCTCTAGCCGGCCTGACCGCTCTAGAGCATCGTCGTCGTCGATCCTCTAGCCATGCAGCACCGACAAAGAACGAGGAGAAGAGGTAGATTGGAAAAAGAGGGTAAAAAGATGTAGTAGATTGATTTGTTGTGTTTCTGCGTCGATTGGATAGATAGGAACTCAATCGGCCATGATCCTCTCATATATATAGAGGGGTGGTCTTATCCCAGTAGGAAACCTCTCCAAGACTTATTTTCTAAGTTTCACACGAGTTTGGAATAGTTTGGATCGGAATCCAAAAGGCTAGATCCAAACAGGGTTTTTAATTAGGTATGTCAGAAGTTCTGACCTCCGTCGGAACTTCCGACCTTTATCGGAACTCCCAACGTGGGGATAACCCGGGCACCCGAGCAGGTTTTTTTAGGCTTCCCAGAAGTTCTGACACCTATCGTAACTTCCGACTTGGGTCGGATCTGCCGGCAATGGAGCAATCTTTTCGGGGGCACAACTCCTTCGTCCAGACTCCAAATTGAATGTTTTTTTTTATTATCTCGATGAGAGGAACGCAACTATTTCATATTTTGACAACTTCACAAAATGAGTTGTCAACAACTACATCCCTTTATTTATTTTTCCTGTGCACCAGGGCATATCATATGACAAAATGAGTTGTCAACAACTACGGCTGTACTGTGTCGTGTGCATGCACGGCAATCGGCAAACGGCAAGGTAAAGGTAAAAGCAAAGGCAGCTCGTCTTCCTGCGCTACTATCTTCAGATCAAGTTAGAGCATCATCATGCGTGCTAGTGTTGCTGGGTACCCGGTACCGCATCATATCAGCCCCCCTGCCCTGCCCAGCCAGCGCCGAGCGAACGAACGCTGCGACGCCACTCGCGCTCGCCCGCGGCCCGCCCGCCTCCTGAAAAGCTTCTCCCTGCTGATACACTGCCCCAGTCCCAGGCTCAAAGCACAAGGCCGTATGCTGCCCCACGCACGCACCTTCTTCCAGATATGAAAAGAAACACAACTAGTACTCCTTGCACCCGTACGTGTATAACTTACATTGGTTCACGTTCATCATGAAAACGTTTGTTACATTCCACAAAAAAATGGCATGATCGAACTGCCACCTTTCTTGGTCGATCGGTTGCAACATGAACAGACCACGGGCCGGGTACTCGTTGATACAAAACCATGGAGTATAGTGCAGCGTACCGGCCTGAATGAAACTCGGCCACTAGTCCCAGGCTCTCAGCTTCACATTTCACAACACTCACCGACTGCCCATAGCGAGGTCGCGAACGAAACAGAGCAGGTCACGCCGTCTGATGATTGATGAATGGTCTAGTCTATCCCTGTCTCACATTCTGAAGATAGACAGTTGTTTATGGTCCTCCTGTGTGCATGCTCTGTTTCAGCGATGAATGCCCATTCAGATCGTTTCAGACAAATAAAGATCTCCCTCTTCTCTTTCTCTCTGTGGCCTGGACTCTGCATCCACACACTCTTCTCTTTATGCCTGAGCCTGAGCCTGAGCCTGAGCTGCCTCGTTCAGACACCAGAACTACAGCCTGTTTGTTTGGCTGTGGTTTGTGATAAACGATCGTAAATTTTCAGTCGTAACAGTATTTTTCTCTCACACAAACTAGCCAACAATACTTCTTTACGAATCAGCAACGAAACGAACCAACCAACCGAACTCGAGGCCTTGTTTAGTTCCTCACCTAAAATAACGTTTGGATTGTGGGAAATGTGACCTGGGACAGGGATATGAGGCTAGATGGAAATCATATCCAGTGTTTGGTTCATGGGTGAGGGAAATAGCGAGGGAAATGGACAGGGAAATGCATACCCACCGGTGCGGGTGGGTTACGCGTGGGTTATGGCGTCGGCCGTCGGCGACGAACGGCGCCCGGACCTGCACAGCTGCCGCTCGCCTCGCGCCTGGGCCGTCGCCGGAGCCACCCCTCGTCGCGCACCTAGGCAGCCGCCAGATCCACCTCGCTCCGATGCGGGAGCAGCTGCTCATCAACCCGTACGGCTGCTCACGTCGCGGCTGAGCCAGAGCCACCACTGGAGCTTGCTCGTGGGCCTTCATTTGGCGGTGATTGAGGACCATGGGCAGAGCACATGTTGAATCAGGCGGAGAAAGGAGCAGCGCACGTCTCGGCGTTGGAGCAGAGACAGTGCAGGTGCAGAGGATACGGAAGTTTTTGTTTTGATTTTTTTATTTACGTGGGCCCCACGGAGTAACCTTATTCGGTTACGGAAGAAATATCATCCTCTCTTTTCCTAACCCACCTCATGCCATATCCCTATCCCATACCATATGAGTATCTAAACGTCACCTAAAATTTAGTCTCTATCTCATCAAATATTTAACACATATATGAAGTATTAAATATAAATTAAAAAATAACTAATTACATATATTGTGATTAATATGCGAGACGGATTTTTTAAGTCTAATTAGGTCATGATTTGACAATGTAGTGCTACAGTAAAACTTAATAAATTCGTCTCGCAAAGTACCAAGGACTTTTGTAATTTGTTTTACTATTACTCACCGCGTTCGGCTGGTACACTTCCAGCTTATTTCAGCTTATTCTCTCTCACATAATACTATTGAATCATCCAAAACCATCCGAAATTCGCTGTGCACCGTACTACCGAACACAGTGACTATCCGAAATAAACTTTAGTCCTAGATTTAAACCAGCCTACTTGGGGCTGCCGGTATCATCAATTCATATACTATTCATTCACCAGCGCTGAATAACCATTAACCGGTGCTCCATGTACTAGCAACATTCATTTACTAGCTCGCTTGCAACATGTAGTAAGTGCCATGCAGTATGAGCAGAAACACCTCGCAAATCTTCATTAGCAGCATACTTACATACGTACACAGATAATAAACATAAACCAAACCTGCTTCTAAATCACTCACGCTGCTACTACTTCTTCAGGGACGACCTTCATCCAAAACAAAAAGGCCAGCCGAACACACACACACACATACTGCTATGCTGCTGGCTGCAACATAGCTAGTAATATAACACTGAGCAAGCTTAGCGAGCTAGCAAACAAAGCAAAGAAATCACAAAACAGACCCAAGAAAAGATGAACTGACAGAGCACACTACACTACAAGGACCTGCTGGACAGTGGACACCTGGTACTAGTAGCTACTGGTAAATACTATTAATCCTTTGTGAAGCTAATAATACGGTGGTTTAATTTCTCCTTCACGAGATCCTCGGCGTGTTCGCTGGTTTATTTTGATCTGATAAATCCGACGACGAGGCTGATTGGCTGGGAAAAGAAAACACTGTTGGCTGGGCTGCCTATCACCACCCGGCGGCAGAGGCAGAGGGCAGAGGCGGACATGACCCCTGCAGCAGGTGGAGCCTGGAGCGCATCGCCGGCCGGGTGGTGCCAGGATCTCGGGACCAGAAGAGAGGCACCCGGCATGCACGAGCTCCCTCGCTCGCGAGCCCATGTCGTCAGTAGTGGTAGTGGTAGTCGTAGGCGTGGTACGCCGGCTGCGGCGGCGGGGGCGCGGTAAGCTGCGCGCAGACCTCGGCGAAGGCGGCGAGGATGGCGGCGTGGTGGCGGGGCGCGTTGAGCGCGAGCAGGCGGCGGAGCATGCAGCGGAGGTCGTCCCAGCCGCAGAGCCCCATCTCCACGACCATCTGCACCATGCTCTCCCGGAAGTCGGCGCGCGGGTCGGAGGACTCCTTCTCCACGGCCACGCCCACGTCGCCGCCGTCCTCGCCTGCCGCTGCTTCCGCCGCAGGCGCCGCCGCCGCCGCCATCTTCTCGTACCGCTTCTTCCTCCTGCCCTGGTGGCCTCCCTGCTGCTGCCTCCTCCTGCTCGTTGCCACCTCCGCAGGCGCCTTGGAGGCCGGCGGGTGCTTGGTGACGGCTGCGGCGGCGGCGGCGGGGTTGTAGTTGTAGGAGTAGGCGGAGTAGTTGGAGTAGGAGGAGTGGGTGGTGGTGAAGGTGGCGGCGGAGGCGGCCGAGGAGGCCGTGGAGGCCGAGGACGGGAAGAAGCCCGAGGAGGAGCGGGAGCTGCTCCGCGGCGGCTGCTGCGGCGGCTTGGGCGACGGGCGGAGGAAGGACGGCAGCTGGCTGAGCAGCCTGGTGGTGGCCCGGCGCGGGCGGCAGCCGCACCCGGCGTCCACCACCGCCACGTGCCGCCACGACCGCCCCACCGGGAACTGCAGGCTCCCGCCCCGCCGCGCCCTGGACGCCGACGCCGACGACATGCCGGTGGTGCGGGAAGGGAATGGCTGGCTGGCCGAGGTAGCTGGACGGGACGACGCCTAGCGGCTACTGCGGGCAACCTCTCTTGTGCATGTGGCTGGCTTTTGGGTGGATGGTCGGCGGTGAGCCGTGGTAAAAAGGCAGGGAGAGTGGACGCGCCATTTTATACGCGCGCGAGATCTGGGTGACACTGACACGAGAGGGGTGCGTGGGCCCGCCATTAGTACTGGTATACTACTCCGTAGTCCGTATGCATGTGTACAGCTGCCGGGTTGCGCTCCTGCTTGTTTTGTCCTTGAGGCTCTCGCCTCGCTCGCTGACGCTCATCATTCCGTTCCCCTGCGGCGGCTACGGGTACGGTCTGCAAATAGAATACTCCGTAGAAAAAAAGAGTTGACGTCAGGGGAAAGTGAACTCTGTATACGTACGTCAGGGGAACCAAGGTCGTTGCAACTTAACGTTGTTGGTGTGGCGATGGAGCGTTAAGGAGCTAACCTAGCTCATCAAGCTTTGATTGTCGTTTATCCTATCCAATATATCGATGGAGAGCCAAACTGTATACACTAATAGTATTCTACTCCCTCTGTTTTTAAATCACATGTATAGTTGTGCTAGTCTTTAGCATGCATCTTTAGGTGTATAGTAAAAAAAATGTACCTAAACAATCAAAACGGCTTACCATTATGAATAGAGGGAGTGTTTTTAATGTCATAGTAAAGTTAGCGTGTAAGTAGTTGGGCAAGTTTAAGCGAAAGTTTCAATCGAGTTTCATCTTTATTCAGTGAGTTGTCACATAAACAGTTCAGATGATTTAGGAACGTTTTTAAGAAGAAGAAAAAAGAGCGAAGAAGTAAGTTTTAAGCTTATTTAACTCGGTCTCTAACTCCGGATGAGTCGTGGAATGAAATGTTTACGAAACAACGTAATAAAATTATGCGTTTTGATTGGTCATGGAATTAAATCGATTCTTCGTCACCGGAGGCCAACCGAATCCAGGTCTGAGAGAAAAGAGCCGAATTCAAAATAGGAACCTGTTCAAACTCATTAAACAACTGTTTGATGCAAAGCTGAATCCACCGTCGGAGAGTGAATGAAGAGATAAAAAAAAACCATGTCCATCCTCTTTGCCATGACTTTTTGTGCCACCACTGGAGAAGGTCTTAACAGCAGGGTGGCCGCTGGCCGGAGGAGGATTTAGGATAATCCGGTCAACGAGAGGGGAGCGGGTGTAGTGTACAGCTCGGACCAATCGATGCCAGTAACTTACAACTCCATCGGGATCCGGAAGTAGGTTGGATGGAATCGAATCGCATCTTCTCTCTTCTGGGGCCCTGCGCGCGCCCACCGGATCCAGGATCCATGGATCCATCCAGCCCAGCCAGCCAAGAGCCGAGGCCGAATTCCGCGCGGCACTTGGCGGCCCGGGTGGTCCTTCCTCTGGACTCTCCTCCACGCCGGCGCCGGCGCACGAAAGCAGCAGGCTACTACTAGGCTCGGAAAGCAGGCAGGTACCTAGCCCACCGCCCAGCGGCAAAGCAGGCGTCGGCGTGCCGGGAGGAGAGCTCGCTCTCTAGCCTTTTCCCCCGGCCGCATGCTCGTGTGCCGTGCCCGTGCTGCCGCCAATGATCACCACGCGACGGCGACGCCCGCCTCCTGCGCGCCATCCTCTACGTACGAGTACGGTGTACAAGAACTAAACTCCCGTCAAGGGTGGCAGCTGGGACCGAGCCTGCTTGCTTGCCGCTGCTGCTGCCATGTGCAGACACTCCGGCGGCTTGCATGCGCCCGATCTCTAGCTTCCGCACTTGAGCGACACCTCCTTTAAGGTTCGACGATGATGAAACAGAGACACTATTTTGAACCATGTTGTACTCATCTCTTAGAAATGATAATACCACCTCCGAAATTAATGACATTCAAATAACAAATGTCGAGTCGTCATTTCTGACTTACTACAAGAGCAGTAAATCTCACTCCCATCTCAATTTCTCCTGTGGCTCATTTGGATCCTTGGAATTGAATTTATTTTAATAATTATAATTTAGACATAGATTAATTAAGCTAATATAGTTATATATATGAAATATATTTGTATATTTATTGTTAGGCATACAAGTGACATACTTATATGTTGCATTTCTATTTTCGGAAGTGAGTTGAAGAGTGTGCTATAAGTTGGAGAATAAAATTATAGCATAGTGATCTATATAATTCATTTCCATCTCATCACCCTATGAATTTGAGATAGGCTTATTTGTGAGCTTGGAAATATTATGGAATGTCAAATTTCAAGCCAAATAGCCTAATCCATTATGTATATTTCAATTCCTACAAAATAAAAGGATCCAAACGATCCCTTAGCTTAATTATTCTTTGTAAGTAACACACCTTTTTTAAAAAAAATCAAAGAAGTATCTTGATTTTCAAGGGTATTTCCAAATGTCAAATTTCTTACAAAACTTTAACTCGGTTGTTTACTACTCTCTCCGTTCCAAATTATAAGTCGATTTGACTTTTTCAGTTCATATATTTTGCTACGCACCTAGAATATCTAAACGCGTAGCAAAATAGATGTATCAAAAAATCAAAGTGACTTATAATTAATTTGGAACTGAGGGAGCAGGTGTTTATACATATACCTAACAGAGAATGAGTCATTTTTTGTTTAGGTTCTAAGAAAAAGAATCCCTATCGTCATTCAGATTATTAACAACAACCCTTTCAACTAGCATCTGCCATTCCAATAGTCGTTCCCAACTGTCGACCTTCTAAACAACACAATGGTAGGGTAAAAATTCAAGACATGAGCCGACATGAGCCACCGTTGCTTGTTTCTTGCCCACTAGATAAATTTGGATATTAGATTTAGAGATTCATTTATCTTCGTAAAATCTAATTTAGGTGCCATTGTTTAGTTTGATTTTTCCTAAACTAAGAAACTAGTTTTAGACCCCCGTGAGCCCTGCACAGAAATCACATCTTTTTCTTTTTGGGTTGGCTAAATGTCTTTTCCTGAAGAGATATTTCCATATTCCTTCCTTGTTAGTACAAAGTTTGAGTTGCTATTCTGCAAACTATATTTCGAATGCGCAAACCCATTTTGGCTAGTCTATATTTATGTTTAACCTGATTGATTTGCTAGAAAACTATACGATCTAAGGTATTTAATGTTTTTAAGTATAGTCCTCTAGGACTTCAAAGAAATAACATGAACCTTGGTGGACTGGGAAACACACTATTAATTAGCACCGTATATTTCTATAAAGCCAGTTTCACTGGGGTTTCTTGAGAATTTAAGGGTATTAGATAAGCTTACTTGGCATATGGACACCTCCAATAGTGACTTATAAGCTAGATCTTAGCTTGAATGAGTCTTTGCGCTTTGCATAAAGCCAAAATGTCTTATAATTTAGAACGGAGGAATAATATTTTTAAATCTATTTGGTGATGTTGATTTGATGCAGGAAAACAATAAGTGCATTCTTTATGGGGGACTATAACTGTTGCATATATAATTAGGCAATCCATGTTGACGTCGGAAGTTATCCGAATCAAACACCAATAGGGCCTTGGATTCCGGGCCGCTACGGACCGAAGAACACAACGAGGATGTCACTCTTTCGTAGTGAAGAACGGAGAGGTTTACAAGCAAACCACCAAAGGATAACCAACGTGCTTACGTGATGAAGAACCGGCTAGTTTTTAGGCAAACTAGCAAAGAAACCGTCAAAGCTCTCGCCCGGGAGGGACCCCGTCAGGGCAAGGACGTCGCCGGGTTGCCCTAGGTCGTCGGATCAAGGGATGAACAGCATGGGGTTGGGAAAGAGGGCAAAAGGGTTGGAGTAGACGTAGTAGATTGATTTGTTTGACGATTGGATAGATGGGAACTCAATCGGCCATGATCCTCTCATATATATATAGGGGGTGGTCTTATCCTAGTAGGAAACCTCTCAAAGCCTTATTTTTCAAGTTTCTCACGAGTTTGGAAGCAGTTCGGATCGGAATCCAAAAGGCCAGATCCGAACAGGATTTTCTGTCAGGTATGTCGGAAGTCCAGTCGGAAGTCCCGACTTGAGTCGGAAGTCCCGACATGGGTCGGAACTCCCGACAGTCGAAACTTCCGACTTTTGTCGGAACTTCCGACCTAGGGATAACCCCAGACACCTGAGCATATTTCTTCAGGCTTCTCGGAAGTCCCGACACCCGTCGGAACTTCCGACAGTCGGAAGTCCCGACTTGGGTTGGAACTCCCGACAACGAGGCATCTTTCCGATGGCATAACTTCTTCATCCGGACTCCGAATTAGACATTCCATATATGTTTCTTGACCGTCTCGACGAGAGGAACGCAATGGTGAAGTCCGTTTCACATTTTGACAACTTCACAAAATAAACATTTTTGGTTGTCAACATATGGCCCCCTATTTTTAGATGAATGATGCATAAACCTGAAAACACTTAATCAAATAAATTAAAACCAAACAGCGACGATTCCCATCTCATCGGCTGCTCAGCGGCTAAGGGCGATGTATACATCGGCCATTTTTTCTAAGGGCGATACATGTATCGGCCATTGTTTGGTGAGCACTTAGGCTTCTTGCCAAACACTTGGAAAGTACCTTTTCAAGTACCTCCCGTTGATTGCTCTCGTGAGACGTTCACCTTGCAATGTCTCTAGCACATATGAATTTTCGAATATAACTTTGACCACTTTGTAAGGACCTTCCCAATTCGGTGACCACTTGCCAAACTGATTGCTCTTCGATCCAATTGGTAGTATGGTTTTCCACACCAATTCTCCCACTTGGAAGGATTTGCTCCTGACTTTCTTGTTGTATGCTTTGGCAACTCAAGCTTTATCTTTCTCTATTTCCTTGAGAGCTTTTAATCTCACATCAGTCACCTCATCGATATTATCCATCATCAAATCATGATACACAACAACTGATAAATCATTTTGTTTAGCAAGCCTGTATGCATCTAAATTCACTTCGACAGGCAAC